CTTCCTCTATTTCCTTTCACTTTCCTCTTGTCCCACTATTGTGTTCAGCCTTCATTTGGGTTTCAGTAATTCCTCTCAATTATATTGCCCTTGATCAAGCACGACCAGGCCTCCTACACCCTCAATTTTGGATCACTTCTTTCCTTTTCCCTGGGTTTGTTAACACCCATTTCCTTTCCCCCACCTCCCCATCTCCCATGTCCCCCCAGTCCCATTGTTTTATCCTCCAGATTGTTTATCCTGTCTATCTTACTATTTATGCTATTTCTATGTTGAGCAAAATAATCTGCAAGACTGGGTTATATGAAGAAGAAAACAAAATTAGGATTGGAGGAGGACTCACTAAGAACTGTGACTTGCAGATGACACAATCTTATCAAAGACTGAAGCCTCCAGTATGGACCGGACTTCAAGATAAAGAAACAGAAATCCTCACACTCAGTCAATTCAGGGCAACTTGAAAAACAGAGAAAGATGGAAGTTGTCAAGAATTTTATTTTACTTGGATCCACAATCAGTGTCCATGGAAGCAGGAGTCAACAATACAAGTGATATATTGTAATGGACAAATCTGCTGCAAACTGCTTTAGAGTGTTCAAACATAGACATGTCTCCTTGAAGACTAAGTGGTGCCTGATCAAAGCTATATTTTCACTCACCCCACATGCATGCAAAAGCTGGACATGAATAAAGAAGACGGAACAAGAATTGTTATCTTTGAATTACAATGTTGGGGAAGAATATTGACTATCTCATGGACTTCCAGAAAAATGAACAAAGCTGTTTTTGTAGAAGCACACCCAGAATGAGCTGTAGAGGCAAGGATAACAAGGCTTTGCTTCATATCCTTTTTAGGTGTTATCAGGTCCGTCCAGTCCCTGGAGAAGTACATTGTGTTTGGTAAAGTAAAGGGGCAGCAAATAAGAGCAAGCTCTTCAATGACGTGGATTGACACAGTGGCTACAACAATGGCTCAAGTATAATAATGGGCTCAAGTATAATAATGATAGTGAGGATATACATAAGGTTACTATGATTCGAAAGCAACTTGATGACACCTAACTGCAATAACAATATCCCCGGAATGACTATTGTGGCCAATTTATCTGACCATCTACAGCTAGTCTCCACTTTAAGTACTTTTACAAATCCTAATTGTAGTTTAAAAGGGCTTGAAAAAGTTGTCAGAGAAATAGCAATTAATTTCTATTAATGAACTCTATTCATCTATCTTTTTCCCCCCCCAAAATGAATGGTCTTCAAACACTATTTTCCTATAAAAATAATTGCACCTTAACTTAAAAATGCTCAAATATTTTTAAGGAAATTTGAACATAGTCTTGCTTAAAGAAAATAAAATTATGCACAACTTGTACTAACCGGTTCTTCTTTTTGGAGTACAGGTTCTCGCAAAATGGAATTTAAGGGAAACTACTGGCATGAAACCTGCTTTGTGTGTGAGCACTGCCGACAACCAATAGGAACCAAGCCTTTAATTTCCAAGGAGAGTGGCAATTATTGTGTGCCATGCTTTGAGAAGGAGTTTTCTCACTATTGCAACTTCTGTAAGAAGGTAACTACCTAACGAGGGTGAAGGACATGGAACCTGCAGATCATTCCTTTTAGTTACACCAGTATTATATCAAGTGGGCTGATACTATCATCTTAAATCTGTATTTACACATTCACATTAGCTTTGAATCCTCACCGTGAGGATGGCCATCTGCTTGTATCACTCATAAAATTCCACCTGCATCCTGAATTTGACATTCAAAATTTGGTAGTTCTGTACAGTAAGAACTCACGCTCTTTTAAAACAATGTTTATAAGGAAAGAATTGTTGATCCACTTAGTGTGCTAAAGAGCAAACTGGGTCTCCATTGAAATTAAAGCAAAAAGCTTTTAAAATTTTATTTATTTATTGAGGGGGTATAGTGATTTGGATCAGTCAGGACGTAGTGAGAATTCCCCAGGTTGTTCTGATATTCTGAGGGAGAAGAAGCCTTTGTACTGAAAAGTGAGAAGGGAACACAAGTTCCTGAGTAGAGTCATGTGAGCTAGAATTTACTCATGGTTAAAAGACAATAGCAAGTTGAAATTTTACAAGGCTAGCTGATTCATTTTCTAACAAAGATTTCTTGGAGCTTATTTAGTAAGCTGTGTATACCTGCTTTGCAAACATTTTTCTGTGACTGTCTTCACAACAATTACTGACAACTTTTCTTTACAGACCATAACCTTGTCCTCTGGTCAAAGTTCACAAGAAGTTATAGGTTCATGTACTTCACTGTAAGCCCTAATCTAAGAACAATTAGTTCTTATGATGTGGCCCTGCTCAATGCTTGCCCTCATGAAGCGATCACTGAATACAAGGATGCTGTAGAAAAGCGCAGTGAAAAAAATCAGATGGTGCACAGCTATCCAAAAGAATAACATCTGAGGTGTTAGAGGCTTGTCTTCAAACAAGCATCCATCTAAGTGAGGTGTCAGCTAATTTTACATCCAATACTGTGTGATGAAATATGATAAATAATAAAATCCAAGATCAGAGGAGGGGATTGTATTAGACCTTAAATTCTGAGCACTTGCTTGCAGAAAGATATGAATGACAGTGAAAGCCTGAAAACCATTTGCAGAGTTCCCACGTGGATGAAGCCTCTATTGAACTCCCTCAAACCATCACTCAAACCAAAAGAAAACTAACTGTCCTCAAGTCAGTGCTGAATCATAGCAACTCTGTGGGACCGGGCAGAACTACCCTGGAGGGTTTCCAAGACTGTAGCTCTTTAGGACAAAAGAAAGCCCTATCTTTCTCTCATGTAGCAGCTAGTGGTTTTGAACTGCTGACCTGGAAGTTAACAGCTTAACCTGTGACCACTACACTATCAGGACCATTGATGAGAGATGTGAATAGTCTTGGCCTCAGACAGTACATTGAAAAGTGGATTACTGTAGATACAGTCAAACTCATGACCACAGAATCAATGCCAACTCATAACAACCCTGTAGGACAGGAGTGAACAACCCCTGTGAGTTTTTGAGACTGTAACTATTTATGGTTGTAGAAAGATCCATCTTTCTCCTGAGGAGCAGCTGGTGATTTCAAACTGCTGACCTTACAGTGCTTCCTCTACCAGTGCTCCTCACTGCAGATATAGTAAGGTTAAAATTTAACATATTATCACTTATTTTCCCTTCTGACCCAAGTTTAATTTGCCCTAGTTTCTATTACCTCCAGTTTTCTCTCAGAGTAAAGTTTATTTTGTTGCCATTGTTGGTTGTTTTTGTTTGTTTGCTTTGTATGATTTTCTTTATAATAAATCCAGGATAGGTAATCTATTGGGGAAGTAGATTAATAATTCCTTAGGGTTATTGCAGGGCAAGGTTGGGAGCTAATAGGGAGCTAATAATGGGTAAAAGAATGAAGAAAATGTTCTAGAATTGATTGTGGTGATGACTGCACACTCTTTTCAATATATTTCAACTACTGAAGTGTATGGTATGTGAGTTATATGTCAGTACAACTGTTAAAAAAAGAAGTTATAGCTCTAAAGTCTAAGCTTTACCATTAGGAAGACAGAAAGGAGGACTTTGAACAAGTTTATTTCAACCACGGAGCTTTAATTGAGACATAGGCCAGTCATCTTTAATCATGCTAAGCACTGCAGTTTAGCGTCCCCCCATACAGACATAACTGACCAATTGTCCTCTTGAGTAAAGGACTGACAGTCTCTTTTCTAATATGCTCTGTTAAATTTTGCAAACATTTGCAAGACCCTTTTCCTAAAGAGTTCCTTAAATAATTATTTCAATCTTTGCTATTTCAGTTTCCTGAGAAAATAATTCCTTCTTTTATTGAGTTTTAACTGCACCATATTTTAGACCCCTCTCCAAACATTGTTTGAAAACAATAGCCATGAACTTCTTCCCTCGAAGTTAATGATAAGCAGAAGTCAAGCAGCCAAAGTTAAGTTTTCCAAATAGCAAAATGGAGTCTGGCCTGCCCTTTGGCCAGAAACCTTTCATACCAAGAACCTTGATTTTGAGGTTCTTGCACAAGTATGACAGATTCAGAGAAATGAAAGTCTGGGTTACAGAGTGAATACAAGGGAACAATTTAAACTGGCTATTGACCTTCTCAAGTTACGCTCCAGCAATGTCAATGTCTTCCTGATTGGAGGCTCTGGTATTTCCTGAGAAAAATCCCAGCAGACTGAAGAAAGTGGGACGAGTAGCAGAGATAGTACAAATTGTGATGAGCAGGCGGAGTCATGAAACCCACTTGATGTTCTGACAATGGCTTTTAAACAATTTTGATCTATGGACTGCGCTGGCGAAACCCTTGAGGACATTTATACACGTGGATCTGGACGGCTAGATGTCTTACCACCACTTTTTGTAAAGTCAAATACAAACACATACGTGCACACATGCGACGTAATTCTCTATATCTCACTGCTACCGAGTCAATGCCAACCCATAGTGACCCTAAAGGACAGTGTATAAGTGCCCCTGTGAACCCCTCTGAGACTGTTTACAGGAGTAGAACACACCGTCTTTCTCCTGGGGAACCTGGTGGTTTTGAACTGCCAACCTTGAAGATTGTAGCCCAATGTGTAAGCACTGCCACCAGGGGTCCTCAAAGATGTATAATAATAAAACTGCATCTGAGGGGACACCCATGAATCTTCTTAAGTTATAATTAAGGCATTATACTCTAATGAAAACTAGTTGTTAGTAGCATGGCATGATTGTCTTAGACCCAGAGAGCTCCATTCTTGTACCAGAACCAGTGACTTAGAAAATGGCTCTACAAACAGTAGCCGGAGACTTACCACACTATGGACATAGGACTTTCCAAAGAATTCCCTGAATCAGTGCCATGCATTTACAAAGAGATTCTGAAAATGAATTAGAGAGGTTCGTCCCACTGTGTTGACGGACAACTTGATTACAGTTTTGAAACTACTTTCTATATTAATTTTATGCTGAAATACTAACAAGACTTGTAAGAAAGCATTGATCAGACACAATATGAAGTTTCTCTCGATGCTATAAAGATTCAAGAAGGGAATTTCTCTAGTGCATCAGTGCTGAGGGCTGTCTAGGGCGAAGCTCTGGTGCTTCCCAGATCATAAGAATATGTGTTTATAAGTAGGACATCATTTGAAGTCATCAAACATTTATAAAATATTTATATTGGGTAGTATACAGATCATGACATTCAGCGACCATCCACTACAAGTCAAATCATGATTCCCTCCACTTTGCCACTGGGGAATCAAATCTAAACATTAGAGGTCATCTTACCCAGCCTTCCACTTCAGCAGGAAGATAGCCCCAAGCAAACTTATTTGTAAGGTTATAGAGTTTCTTCTCCCCGTTTAAATACTCCAGCCTTTGGTGTACTTATTAAGTTTTCATTTGCTGTGAAGACATTTTCCAAGTTTTCCAATCTTTCAAGCATTGCCTGCTAATCATTTGACCAAACCAATCAAAGGAATCTTGAATTCTGCTGTGACTATCAGAAAGCATTTGAAGTCAATAGGGGGTATTTTAAATTATTTTATTCACATGCACTATTCTACTTTCATTTACATATTCAAAGAAGCATACTTCCTTTTTTCATTTGGGATAGAATGTAACTTTCTACTGAGTATCTTTAAAATTTAAGATATTGGTTAAAGATTAAAAATACCTTGAGGACAACTTTTCTTCCAAAGCCCAGATGTTATAACAATGAACCTTTTTGAGCTTGTCAATAATGAAATGGCTTAGGATGAGCTCAGTAATTCCTACATCTAATTAATTTAAATACAAAGATCATAGGCACTCTCAGCTATCACATTGCTTCTGGCATTATACAGCATTCAGATGAATGCATTCCAAGTTCACAGCCATTTCCTGGAGCTCAATAGCCATTGATTTGAAAGATGATAGGACTTAAAAATGGCTTCACAAGAAGAGTTTTCCAATATATATCTATCCATCCAATTCTAAATAACAATGCCTCTGCCTTTAAAGAGTATTATCTATAGATTAAACTGGCTTGGAAAAAAATATTTTGTGAAGGATTAATAGCCTCTCTGAAAAATCCTAGAGAATCAGACATTAATCTCAATACATAACCGGTACCAATTTCTTAGAGCCAACAAATCAGGCAGTTGCCCACAGCACCCGTATGTGCTAGATAAAAATATTGGAATTGCTTTCTAAAGATTTTCCCCCTCCCCCAGTGTCCACTCGTTTGTCAAGGGCATACCAACTGCTTCATTTGTACAAGGTACTCTGGACTCACTACTGCTGTATTAGCGATTACACTCACGCACACTAACGTCAGACGGAGGTCTGAATGTTCGCTCTGCCAGGTTATACCTGGAGGACTGTGGGCAATGTACTTAATCATGCCACCCCTCCACAGGGGCCTCTCTATAAAGGGTACAAGTAATATTCGCTACCACCTGAGGGGCTGACCCTCAGCACAATGGCAAAAACTGAAACAATACCAAAACCTTAAAACATGGTAGTGATTATTGCATCTAATGGTGTTTATCAATTCCATTCAGGATTGCTACTGCTCGAGCTTTAGGATGAAAACAGATTTTTTTTTTCCCACACCACCATCCTTAAAACGCAGACATGGAAATAGGAGGGGGTCTTCAAAAAGTTCATGGAAAAATCCCACTATCTTTTCATCCCTTGTTTCCATGAACTTTTTGAAGTCCTCTGGTAAGAATATATTATTTTTAAAAATTGGCCAGGCTTATTGGCAGATCTCGAAGACAATAAGAAAGTCAGGGAAGGAGGGACTGATGAGCCACTATTGTTAAACTTTTTTTCTCATCATCCTCAGGAGCCCTGGTGGTGTAGTGGTTACTCATTGGGCTGCTAACTGCAAAGTCAGCAGTTTGAACCCCCAGGGGAAGTTCTGCCTTATCCAATGGGGCCCCTAGAGTCAGAATTGACTCGATGGCAGTGAGTTTGGCTTTGATTTTTCAGCACAATCCAAGAAGTGCTAGTGGTGCCGCGTGCTCCACGTTCGGCTGTTAGCAGCGTGGCCCGTTGTTCCAACCCACCCATTGATCCATGAGAGGAAGATGAAGCTGTCTGCTCCCAGAAAGATTTGCAGCCTTGGAAATCCACACGGAGCGGCTCTGCTCTGTCTGATAGGGTCCCTAGGAGTGGACCCCGTTGCCAGTAGATGAAGCAGTAGATACAGCCCTCACTGTTTCCGAGTCCATCATAAAGGGACCATCAGAAATGCTCTCATTTTGCACCAGGTCTATTTCCTCCTGTCTGCCTCTTCATTTCTTATATTGACTCAAAAGAATCACAAAGGTCTTAAAAGGAGAGAACACCTTCTCCAAAGAGATCATTTTTAAACCCCTCTTGTGGACTTTGAAGAGACCCATGATCGATCTGAATTGTAGTCACTGTCTTTTACGCTGTCTCTTGGCAGGTGATAACTTCAGGCGGAGTAACATTTCATGGCCAGCCCTGGCATAGAGAGTGCTTTCTGTGCAGCGGCTGTAGGAAAGAACTCTACAACGAAGAGTTCATGTCCAGAGATGATTATCCGTTCTGCTTGGACTGCTACAACCATCTTTTTGCCAAAAAGTGTGCAGCCTGCAACAAACCCATTACTGGTGAGTTGTTTGCTTTTGTCTTTCATTTCAATATGGCCCTATCCTAAGATGCTGGGGACACCGGGGCTGCTTCGCTGAGAGAATTCTTGCCCTCCATGTAGGAGACTCAGGTTTGATGTGCAGCCACATCTGTCCGTTAGTAGAGGCCTGTGTTACTATGATGTTGAGCAGGTTTGGGTAGAGTTTCCAGACTAAGACTCATTCAATAGACATGCCCGGCAACATGTCTCCAAAACTCAACCAGTAAGAGCAGGCGGGTAACCGGGTTCTGCTGCACATGGGGTCACAGGGTGGGGGATTGATTTGAGGGCAGCAAACAGCAACCAAAAAAAAAGCCCCCCAAAACCATGGGATGGTTATGATGTTGTAAGATGCTATATAATTGATTTAGGAGATGCAAGAAAAAATGGTTAATTTTTATTTGCTTCTTTTTGAGATAAGCACCTGTGAACAGCCATGTGTACATGTAAATCTTACATCAGTAAAGCAGAAGATAACTGAGGGAGCTATCCAGTGTTGCATTTGAACTGTGGTGCTGGAGAGGAATATTGAAAGGGCCATGAACTCGTAAAAGGACAAATGAATCAATCTTGGTAAAAGTATGGCCACAGTGCTCTTTAGAGGCAAGGATGGCAAGACTGCTTGTCTTATGTACTTTGGATATAATGTCAGGAGAGACCAGGCCCTGGAGAAGGACATCATGCGTGGTAAAGTGGAGGGGCAGTGCAGAGGAGGAAGGGCCTTAATGAGACGGATGGATATAGTGGCTGTAACAATGGGCTTAGGCATAAGAACAAGTATGAGGAAGGGGCCGCACTGTGTAATGTTTCGTTCTGTTGTGCATAAGGTCCCTATGGGTCATAACCAACTTGATGGCACCTAACACCACCACCAACAACAACAGATATCCTCTGTGCCACAAATGGCTGTCAGTTGTCACTCTTTGGTGGCTTGCATATTGTTATATGCTAGAAACTATGCCACTGGTATTTCAAATGGCAGTAGAGTCACCATTGTGGACATGTTTCAGTGAAGCTTCCAAAGACAGACAGATTATAGAGAAAGGCTTGTCGATCTACTTCCCAAAATTCTCACTCAAATTCGCTGCCATTGAGTGACCCTATAAGACCAGGTAGAACTGCCTCTGTGGGTTTCCAAGCCTGTAAATCTGAACAGGAGCAGAAAGCCTCGTCTTTCTCCCCAGGGGTAGCTAGTGAGTTCAAACTACTGACCTTGAAGTTATCAGCCCACCACGTAACCTACTATGCCACCAAGGCTCCCTGATGGTGTTAAGTAAAGCCACGGAAATAACTACAAAATATTGTCTCATTTCATGCTGAAAGATGAGTCCCCAACCCACTCCAGAGGGAAGGTTCTTAAATACAGAGAGGCTACAACAAACACGAAATCAACAATTGTGAGGATAACTCCGACCAGGCATACCGTTGTCTGTGGGGTGGCACTTGAAAACGAGGAACAAGGGCATGATCTGTCCTTCAGTCCTGAGCTCTGGGACTGACTCGAAGTGAAACACAGCTAAAGGGGGGCAGAGATCAGTGCTGGCGAAGAAGCCAGAGATTTCACAAAGAGCCCTGATCTGGACCAGCACTTTCCTGATCTGCCGGGCAGGGTGGGAAATAATAAATCAGAATCCTGCTTCATTCCGAGCAAGGCCCAACCAGCCTTAAAATAGAAAAGGTTCTAATTAAATGCAAGTGCTGCATAAAACGTCTGAAGCTGTAATTAATTACTAGAGTAGCATAGGTCAGGAATTAATTAAATTTCATTTTCAGATGCTTCTAACAAATGGAGGATTCTCTTTTCTTTCTAGTCACTGCCAGTGAGTTTTAATTATAATTAGCTGAAAGAAAACAAGAAGCATTCTACTGAATAAACAACATACAGTAAAATGATTCCAAAAACAAGAAGCAAATGGTAAATCAATCCATGTTAAAATTTTTTTTCTTTTAAATTTTAAAAAATATATTCTCAAGATTTTAATAAAAGCATTATATGTCCTCCATCACACATCTAAAATGCTAATCCTATAATAAATAACTATTTACATCTGAAAAGCACATCAGCTATTCTGTTAGGACATTTACTCCCTGCCATAGAGTCCGTGCGGACTCATCGCACCCCCAGTGCATTTTCCAGCCTGTAACTGTTCACGAGAGTAGAAAGCCCGGTTTTTCTCCCGAGGAGCTGCTGATGGTTTCAAACTGCCAACCATGCCCATCTCAGCCAAACACATAACCACTACACCACTGGAGCGTTTCCAGTCACATAATAATGTGATAGAACTGTATTCCTATTCTTGTTCCCAGAAGCTTGATTGTATTTCATTAAAATGAAAGAGTCTTTTTTCCTGTCTGCCTCCTCTTTCAACTTCAAATCTATCACAATGTGAAAGAGTTTCAGTGCAATTGAAATATAAGGATGATCATTCAAGAGTACAACGTTTAACCCAGTGTAGACCAGAGAAAAGCCTGGGTTTCACTAACTTGCAAAGGGAGAGAGAGAGTTATTGGGCAAAGAAATCCGGGTTCTGATTGTCTATACAGGAGCGCCATGTTTCCCAGAATCACTAACTGCTGGGCCATAGGCTACATCTGGTCAGCAGATGTGTTATGTTTGGCCTGTACATCCCTGCAGCCCCCGAGCCTACCATGAGTGAGCAGGTGCCCCACACTCCCTGTAGGGCCATGGTGACAGACAGTGCGCCCTATTATGCAGGGTTTGCCTTTTCCGTTCCTTGCACCTTGCCCCATCACTCAGCCAGGCCACCTCCTCTGTCCTGCAAGGCCTCGAATCAGCAGTGCCAGGCAGTCCGTGGCTCCAGGACTTGCGCTCTTCACTACTCTGCTATCCTGCCTTCGACGTCATGAGACTACGCCCCACTCTGTATTGATTTTAGTTACAAAATGGCACTTTGGTACATTCAACAGCACCTCAGCTCCAAAATCTTCTTAGTAGAATCTGCAGTCATGGCTTTCTAACTCAAACCATTTCTTCCATAACACATTTCTTCAACTGGGTCAGGGAAAAAATGGGGGGTGGGGTTTCAATGAGGAAATTAAACAACTCAAAATGAGGTTTCAAAACTTTTTGAGAGCCCCAATGACTTTGCTCTGCTAAGATTCTGCGTGTCCTGAACTTGATGAGTTTCAAATCAGACTCATCACAGGTTCATGGGTCTAAGTGATTTCTTTTTCAAGTGGTTTATTGCAGATCAGTCACTGAGCCCAACGTTTTTTAGGTTCTAGCAGAAAAATCAAACGGATCTGCACTAAAACATAAGGATCATCAGGAGCATAAGGTTTCACCCAGTGTAGTTCAGAGAGCTTATTGTGTCTTTAATCTAGAATAATCAGGATAAACAGAACCGCTAACCTTTTTCTTAATAATGTACTCTTTGCTCTGTGATTGAAAGCCACCAGACCAGAATGCCTGAAAATCTTCCAGCTCACTTTACTGTATCTTGATCTGACCTGACAGAGAACGAGACTAGCTCTTCAGTAATGCATCTTTAAAACGGAGCCAGCTGAACCAATGCACCACAAGGAATTCTGACACTGTCGTATAGATTTGTCTTCTGAAAGATGGGCAGTCATGCAAACAATGTGTCATCCTGAAAGCAGTCATTGAAAAAAAAAATCTATATGTTGTTAGTTGCTATTGAGTCAGCCTAAAGTCATGTCATGGTGACCCCAGGTCTAACTGAGCAAAACATCGCCATAATGTTGGTCTGTGTGAGTCCATGTTGAATTGATATGTTAGGATGTTTAAAAATAGTATTCCACCTTCCGTGAATCTGTAAGCCCCTGCTTCGCCCTACTGTGTGGGCTGGAAACGGGATCCCCCTCCAAGGTCTGGCTTTTCCTTTACTGGTAAAATGGAGAGTTGATCAGGACCACACCTGAGCCTCACTGCTTGCAGATGGGACAAGAGCTTCCAATGCTGTGGCTCTTTTAGAAAGAGATGCTGAGGGTTCTGGGGATGTTCTTTGTCAAAGATCCGTTCAAATGGCATCTGGTGAGGTGAAGAGCCTTGTCCCAACTCTGTCCCTTACCAGCTGGGTGAGCTGAGGCAGGTTGTTGACCCTGTTTTGTCTGCAAAATGGGATGATGACATCTAACCCATACGGCTGAGGTGAGGGCTAAATGAGGCAAGATGTAGGAAGGGCTTGAAATAGTGCCTGGCATGGAGTCAAGTGCCCCACAAATGACAGCCCTCGTTCCACTGATTTGCGAGGAGCAAACGGAGCCAGATAAAACAGGTGCCAGAGATTTCTTTCGTAGATGACTTTCTTTCTGCAAATAACCCTCACGGCCCGAGGAGGGAAACATACCCAAAACTGGAGCAGTTTGCAAGCATCTCACATGTTGAATCAGGCTTCTCATAAATCCTGCAGCCAACAGTGTCTATGCTTTACTTTTCTGCAAAATTCCAGAAGAATTACTTTTACATTTGTCCCTGGTATAAAGCTTATGAGTGAAATCACGGAAGACACATCAGCAGCGAAATGCCAGGCATGTACCATGAGCTTCATGAGCAGAGGTGATTTATGTGTAGGGACGGCAGAAGGCCTGCAGACAGCCTATTAATATTTTGAGCAACATCGAGGGAGCTAATTGGCATATTATTGATATACTTTTATTGGAAGCTAATGATGATAGCACCATAGAGAAGCAGACTATAAGTTATCTTCTTTTTTTAAAAAATAGAAGAATGTGGTGGAAAGTTATCTGTCAACCATTAAATTACTTATCAAGCAGTGAAGTAAGGTTGGTAAGGTAGGAAGAAAAGAATTTTGAGGTACGATGCTTATTCTCCCAAATGGAATATTTGGTAATTATATGGGAACGAGCAAAAGAACACTGTTGCAGTGTGATGAGCAAATGATAGTAGGATCATGGCACTACGAATACTTAGAGAAAACATTATGAATAAATAAAATCCTGAACCTAGGGCACACCAAACCCTACCTCAAAACTAATTTCTGGATCCATCCCATAGGATCATATTAGGGAGAAAAGGACCAGAGGCTCAATGAAAACTCAAAACTCAACCAGAGTTCTTAGCAACCCCGTGGCTCTAGTGAGTCTCAAGCGAAAGAGGGATAGGAGTGACAAGGAGCACCTTAAATACTATTTGTGGAGTGCCAAGGACTCACTGGCTAGAGTCGATCAAATGTGTAGACTTTGTCACATCTGTAGACTGTCGTCTTTTCAGCTGAAGCTGGCCATGGTAAGAAGGTCATCCTGTTGGGATAGCTCCGTGAGAGGCTCAATGAAGGTGCCATTTGAGGACCTTCAGAAATGTGTCCTACAGCGCACCGGGGCCAGGTGACTGGATCCAGAGTAAAAGCAGATCTGTGAAAAGACAGAGGATATTACAATTATTAAGAACATCAAACAGCAAGTGAGGCAGTGAACATTTTATCATTTTATCTTCATTTCACAGCTAAGAAAACTGAGGATCACCCACAGAGAGAAAGGAAATTGGATTCAAGTAGATTCAAAAATCTCTCTGCCCTGCACTGTATTTCTTTCTATATCATAGGCATCCTTTCTGCTTCCAAAATTGGGTGGTTTTTTCTATGCAGATTCCAGCTACTTGTATAGACAATGAAAGAATTTCCCTGGCAGTGTGGTTAGCTGACATAGGAAATTGTCTCCAGCTGAGAGAACCCCAGAATAAGGACCGAGGAAAAGGGAGGCAGCTTTGTTGGCCATTTGTAAAGGTTCACTTGCCTCCATGTTGCCCGTTTTCACTGCTATGCTCCCAGCCCCGATCGTTGAAGGAATTGCTTCATCAGTTACTCTTTTCTCACCGATTCCTTCCTAGGTCTCAGAGGGGCCAAGTTTATCTGCTTTCAAGACCGCCAGTGGCACAGTGAGTGCTTTAACTGTGGGAGGTGCTCCGTCTCCCTGGTGGGGGAAGGCTTCCTGACCCAGAACAAGGACATCTTCTGTCGCAAGTGCAGCTCGGGGATGGACACTGACCTGTAGACAGACACCTCTGTCTCCATCTGGACTTCACGTTGCTTTTGTTCTCACTAAATACCGAACTTGGTGGAAGTAGTAGTTTTTGACTTGAGTTTTAGAAAATATTCATGTCGACTTTAGAGTGGCAGAGCTTCTGCACACACTTAGCTTGAACTGTAATGTAAGGGGAGGCGCACAGCGCTCAGCAATGACTGTGTACTAAGTCAGCCGGTGCAGCTCCTGGTGAAACACTGCTCTCTGTTGTTAGGATCAGGGCACTGTCACAGCTTCAAATAAAGTAGATGCCTATCCTAGCAGGCCTGGGGATGTTTCCAAAAACAGTTATTTTTTCCAACACTAAAGCTTATGAATGAAATCACGGAAGACACATCAGCAGTGAAATGCCAGGCGTGTATCATGAGGTGAGCAGAGGTGATTTATGTGTAGGGACAGAAGTCCTGCAGACAGCCTATTAATATTTTGAGCAACATCGAGGGAGCTAATTGGCATATTATTGATATACTCTTATTGGAAGCTAATGATGATAGCACCATAGAGAAGCAGACTATAAGTTATCTTTTTTAAAAAAATAGAAGAATGTGGTGGAAAGTTATCTGTCAACCATTAAATTACTTATCAAGCAGTGAAGTAAGGATGGTAAGGTAGGAAGAAAAGAATTTTGAGGTACAATGCTTATTCCCCCAAATGGAATCTTTGGTAATTATATGGGAACGAGCAAAAGAACACTGTTGCAGTGTGATGAGCAAATGATAGTAGGGTCATGGCACTAAGAATACTTAAAGAAAACATTATGAATAAATAAAATCTTGAACCTAGGGCACACCAAACCCTACCTCAAAACTAATTTCTGGATCCAAATAAAGCATTTATGAGACACGTTTGCATTGCCAGGTAGTTATTATACAGGATATGATAGACTGACAATGAGTGGTAGAAGAGAACTGATTAGGAAAATTGACTTATGACTTCTATAACCTTAATCAAGGACCCTATCCTGATGGCAGAGTTTTGAAAATGCTAGGCTGCTAACAGAAAGGTTGGCTGTTTGAACCCACCAGCCACTCAGTGGGCGCAAGATGTGGCAATTTGCTTCTGCAGAGATTTGCTGTCCTAGAGAGGCCACGGAACACATCTACTTGGTTGCATAGGGCTGCTGTGATTTCAAATCACCTCAACGTAAGGGTGGTGGGTTCATTGTCTGTATCACTCGTTTGCTGCTCACACACAGTGATTCTGGAGTTGAAAAACAAGCTGCATTTGCTCTCATCCGCACTGTGTCCGTAGCCAGTTGATCCCGTTCCAGGTGGGAACAGCAGCACTTGGGCACAGACGTTGCTAGGGCTCTGCTCCCGTAGAGGCAAGGAAGGGATCATTGCTGCCAAGGCATAGGTTTCCTCCTGTTTTGTATTAAATTTCTCTTCAAAGTTCACAATGATTGTTCGAAATGCTTACAGGTTCCATGAAGTGCAAGTCTGTTTTCTCACGTGGAGCAAACCAAGGATCATCATTGCCCCCCAAAGGGAAACCTTTAAAACAAATAGATTGTTAAATCATCTCTTGTGGAAATGAGCTGTAGGGAAGGGATTGAATGTTGGAACATGATTTTCATCCAGATTTCTCAAGGCATAATAGAATGCATAATTAACTCTGAGCCTCATGTATTTTGCCCTCTAAAATTGCATAGATGATTAATGGGCAGACGTAAAAGTGGGTTTTAAAGGAATCTAGTAATAATAAGAACTGAAAAAAGTAATTCACTGCTGAGAATTCAGGACTGGCAACATTGCATAATAGAGTAATGTGGGCTGTAGGTGGCCCCACCCCACTGTCTCCACATCACGCCATCCACCTCTTCCTTTTGAACCAATCATGCTCCAGAGTATCAATTGACTGTGCGACCAGGGGGTGCACCCCGAACCGTGAGCAGCTCCTAGAAATCCATCAGTGTTCGTGGCAGCGCAAAGAAGCAACCCTCTCAGTTAAAAGTCCGTTACTGCATGTTGATCTTCAGATCTGAATGAACCATCAGATACCAACGAATGGCCCCATCTCCCGGCCCCTGAGCACTGTTTCCCGAGGGTGGAAAACAGGGAAAGCAGCCTCTGCTTTGCGCAGTCCGTCATAACCCTGGTTTCGTGTTTCAAGGGGGGCAAGGAGGAGGCCAGGAGGAAACATCACAGAGGCATATTTTTGTTACTGTCTGCGTTCAGATTACGGCATAGCAACAAAGGTTCTGAGTGAGTTCTAATCATATGCTATGGCTGATTTTAATGATTAAAACAGCATTTCAGGAGACTCAATTAAAATTGTTATGGAAACACAACTTTTGAAATAACAGTGCAAAATCATTTAGAGATGCAGGGGAGTCAGAGGTAGAGACAAAAGGTGAGACGACAGCAACTATTTGAAAAAAGATTTGCCCCTTTTGGGATCGACAGTTCCTCAGTTGTATTTGTCCTGTGAAATGTTGGCAAAACTATATCTGATTTGAAACTTCTTACCTAGAACTGAATATGCCACCTTTTTTTAGCTCTAGAAACTAATAGCATCTGACATATTTAGAAAGCCATGCCATTGGAAATCTGGACTGCTGTGCAACCTGTGATGCTTCTTCCATTCACCAATGACAGATGGCTATGTCATGCAGGATACTTTGCTTAGCTAAGCAGTGGGTGATATCTGAGACTGTGTGTGTGTGTGTGTGTGTGTGTGTGTGCCCATGCACATTCAATCTTTATAATTAAATTTATCTCAACTACTTCCTAGTGACCTTGTTATACTTGGATAACTAGAAAACTGTCTTATTATATATGTTTTGACATATAAATACTACAATATTTAGAAGATGGTTTCGTCTTTAACGACTTATAAAACATGTGCTTATACGTGATAGTGCAGTAGTTAAACACTTTTGGTTTACCAAAAGGTGGGTGATTTGAGCCTGCACAGTGGCTCTGTAGGCCAAAAGACATGGCGATTTGCTCCCATAAAGAATACAACCTAGTTAATTAACCCCATGAGGCATTTCTACCCTGATCTATACAGTCACTCTGAGTCAGAATCAACTCCGTGGCAGTGATTTTATTTTATTTTAAATAGGATCACTACAGAGACCTGATAACCCTGTTGAATGGGATTGATGGCGATGAGTTGGATTCTACTTAATGGCACACAGCAACAGCAATATGTCCCAAATCAGAGTTCCCCCAGTATGGGGACTGCCAGGGTAGATCAAGACATAGGAATGTGGGAGGGCCAGAGAGCCATCCTTCATGGTTAAAAAATAGTGCCACCATCCTCCCCATAGCACCACCATGCCAAAAATACTGGAATGTGTATAGAATGATCTAGACAGATCAAAGGAAATGTCATCTATGGGAATTGATCTCAGCACGATGCAAAGCCCTCAAACCGACCTCTCCAAGGATGGAAACGGCTGTCTCAGGAAGTAGTGACTTCCCGGTGACTGAACGGGTGACATCTGCACAGGCAGGAAAGCAATAGAAAAAAGTCCGTGTGTTAATAACAACCAGATGGCTTGGGAGCATCTGAGCGACTGTGCCAGAGAGCACAAAGAACAGAAAGTGCTAAAACACAAAAGGTCAGTTGAAGGAAGAATATTTACTCCTGGAATAAAAGGTTTAGATTTGAAGTTATGGGCAAAGGATACCAACTGGTTTTTACCTAGAAGGGGGAAGGGATTGGGACCTTGTGTTTAGGTATTTGAGGAACACGATGGTAGTGATTCTGCACGGAACAGAAAGGGAGAGGGCAGGGTTTCGAAGGTTAGGTCAAGCTGGAATAGTACGTTTCACTCCAAGGTCCAGAGAAGAAAAAGAGAAGCAAAAGAAAATGCAAGCCAAGGGCAAGATTTGTTGATATAAGTGAGTGGACTGATAAAGCAAAACATTTCATGTTGGTGATTAAAGATAGCAAAGGAAAAGCTGAAAAGAATTTCAGTTTTCATTTAACGGAATTATTAGAAATGGTCCATCTGGCTAGAAGGGGCATCCGAGTTAACTTGAGTGACGGGGGAGGTAGTAAGTAGTAAGAGGGAAGACAGAGGCAAAGAGAAAAAGGAAGTCACACCAGGTCAACCTACAGTCATTGCTTAAGTGAAGTTTGATAGTGATGTGATGATCATGGGCTCAGAATTTTTAAATGGCTTTAAGAAATGAAATTCTCCATTAAGTATTGGATTATGAGACTGGCCCACCATTGTGATAATGCTTAACATCGATCACAAATGGTGCCAATAAAAAATTCACTGCAAAATTCAGTACAACTGATAACAAAAGTAGTGTTGATAGCATAAGCATTAAGAATGTGAACCACAAGGTTCAAACGCATTAGTCACTCCACAGGAAAAGATGCAGATGTCTGCTCCCATCAAAATGTATGCCCTTGGAGTGGAGACCCCATGCCCATCTGTAGACACTTGGACATCCCCTCACAGAGGGGTCACGGGGAAGAGATGAACCAGTCAGGGTGCAGTATAGCACTGATGCAATGCACAACTTTACTCTAGTTTGTTGGTGCTTC